GAAATGAGCTATTGAAGTGCAGATCGCACATCAATAGCTTATAGCTGGGCTGCAGGAGCCCAGAACTGACAGCCCAGGGACCGGAAGTGATTCAATCTGCATCGCTCCCGGTCCCATAGAACGGGGAGGGGATCAATGAGCGGAAGTTCGTCGACCTCCTCCTCCCCAGCTCCCCAAGGACGCCTGTCCCGGGCCCGTAGGAGGGGCAACGGAGCCCGGGAAGCCCCGATGCTGGCGACGTACACTGTGCGTCGTCAGTCCTGAAGGGGTTAAAGGAGAACTATGAGGTGAGTGATTTCCCCTCATCCTCATAATCTGAGCCGACCTGTGAGAATGGGACTGTCACAGGTCGGCTCAGTAGATCGGGAGGTGAGCGAACACATACCGGCGTTCGCACTCTTCTTGATCCTGTCCCTGCAGAGAGCGGTGACTGTTACTCACGGCTCCCTGCAGGGATTCCCCCCCCCCTCCCCTACATGGCAAGGTGATAGAACGATGGAAATTTCCATTCCAATTTTGGTAAAAATTGCAAAATCAAGTCATAAAATGGTGGTTTCCATGGACCACAAGCAGTAGGATGGAGAATGTTTTGGTATAATTTGGTCACCTTTGACCTTTTGATTCATATACGGTATTAAAGCTGTGAATTTATTGCCCCGTTTTAACTTGACAATTGACCGAATTCTGGTGGTCGATCGAAAATGATGGAGGGTAGATTGCTTTAGTTCAGGATCAGATTCATAAAAAGCGGTCGAAATTGGCTGAAACCTGCCCAGTGTATGGTCAGCTGTAGTTCTTGTCTTCTAAGCCCAAGTACGAAGCAACACGAACTGAGAACCGGGAGACTTCCCGAATCTTCCATCAACCTTGAGGGGAAAAAAAACAATATTCATCCAATTTTAACAATTTGCACTCAGTTTGTGATCATAAAAAATGACCAAAATATTGGAGTCCACCTACCACCAATGGTGTCCGTAGATTCACAATTTTGACTGGGACTCTGAGGAGCGTTGGTGGTAAGTTGCAGTAAGCTATTTTCCATTGCGACGGAAGTCACAATTACAATTGTACGATGGTTGAAAGTGATTGAAATTGTCTAAAAATTGCCAGGCCGTCATTACGTTGGCCACGCACGGAGATTTCAACCACTTCCACCACGAATTGCCTGGCCGGCAGTAAGTTGGCCGTACACAGAGGAAGTCCACCAGGAATTGTGGGTAATTCCCATAAACTACGCAATCTGCCACCTTGGAGCTTCATCATCCACCCGAATTTGGTCGATTGTGAAGTCCAAATTGGGCCAAAAATTGACAACTTGGATACGGTTTAATAAAAGATCGAATTGAACAGAGGAGCAGAAAACGACTACTGCAGACTGGAGCAGCCGTGTGTGACAACCAGTGGCGTCACAAGGGTGACACCATTGGTGGGGTGACACCAAAATGACTGACAGTCATTTTGGTGTCACACTCTCTGAAAAGTCGGGCACTCGGTCACGGACCGAGAGCCCGACAGTGTCAGGAGAGAGGAGGGGACCCGGCGGCATACGTCATCCCGCCGGGTGAACGTCCCCTCCTCTCTATGCCGGGATCCATCATCAAGATGGCCGCCGACAAGTATCAAAAAGGTGATGTCACGCCAGGGTGTCACCCGGTATCTGCTCCGGGTGACACCCCGACCTCGGGACGCCCCTGGTGGCAACCAATCAGCTTCCAGTGTTCAGTTTCAAAGCCTAACTGAGCAGGCTGAAGGGAGAATCTGATTGTTTACTCGGCACAGACTGCTCCAGTTCTAGTAAATTCCGCCCAATGGACTTGACCAGCGGTTTCCAGGTGTGCAGATGCGGGAGATCCACCCCCCCCGTCTGTAGCAACCAATCAGAAGTGGTCTCTCCTCTGATAGGACTATAGTGAACTGTATTCTGTTTAGCTGAATTGGTATATTGTGATGTGAACCTGTAAGCATTGCGTCGTGGAATGTACAGGTAGGTAGGCAGGTTACATAGTCGCCATTGTTTTAGGATGCCAGGGACACAGGGCCGTCTTTATTATTGATTGGACCCGCCCCTACCCACCATGCCCCACCCCCACCGTGCAATTTCCAGAGGAGACATCAGAGGGAGACGTGAGCCCGCGTGAGACATCTCGCGCTCATGCTACGTGGCGTGCGGCGGGGGCGGAGCCACACTATGCGATGCCGATTGCATAGTAAACAGAACGGCGCCGCGTGTATCTTTTATGGGCTCCAGGGGCAGCTGCTTTGGGCCCCGTAACATTGACTGGACCCGGGGCAACTGCCCCCTTTGCCCCGCCTTAAGGTGCCCACACACCTTACGATAATCGCGGGAGATCCCGCGATCGTACGATTATCTTAAGGTGTGTGTGGAAGCCGTGCGACCTCTACTACTGTAAGGTCGCACGACTTTTATCTTAGGAACATGTTTGAAAACCCGCCGACCATCGTACGATGTTCGGCGGGTGTGTGGCATGTTCGCAAGATAGCCGCACGGGCCGGTGTGCGCAAGCTCACACTGCCCGTTCGGCATTGCGGTCCTCATTCACTCTGGCCCCTGCCTATGTGAACGAGCAGAGGGCTTCGCCTAAATATGGGTGTAACATGAAACTATAGGGTGACAACGCTCTGTCTTTGTCTCCCAATTCTGCTCCTGCGTTGTCACCCTGTCACATGGACTTCCCATGGAGACTACAAGTGACCATTTTGCCTCTTATTAGCAGGAATGGTCCGCTGTTGTCACCACCAGGAAACCCGTCCTATAATTAGAAAGAGTGAGTTATATATATATATATGATAATATTGGGTAATAATCATCATAGAACACAGAAGGAAGCTCTGTCCGTGCCGCCCAATCAGCTGCAGCAAACCAAAGGGGCGGGATTTCAGTGACATCATTGACCTTTTATGGCGATGTGGCCATATAAGTTAAATGACATCAGAACAAGCACCCCCCCCCATTGCTTACATGCAGGGTGGGGAAGGCCCGCAGCTGATTGGGTGGGTGGCCCCATGACACGCCCTTGTTGGGAGGAGCTCCCATTCTGAACCTGAGCTCATCCATTGTGCACCGGTGAGGATACAAATATGGGGCAATCATTGATGACCTAATGAAGCCCCCTCCTCCATGCTCGTTCCAGGGCCATGGTTCGCTCAGCAGTGAAGTGAGGGTGAAGATGACAGGTTTGCAGCAAACCTACAGAGTGTTAGGACTACAAAACACCCCCCTCCCTCCTCAGCTTGATGACATAAGTGGCAGTTGCTCTGTAGTTTACAGAGAGAGCTGGAAACATTGTAGCTGAAAACACATCAGAGAGCCCTTTATTGTCACCTGGTGATCCTGCCAGTAACACACTTCCTGTCTTAGGGTGACAACACCCACTCACTTTACTATATCAGGACAATAGAAGAAGCAGGACAGGACTACAAACACCTCCCCCCTCCTCCTGTTCTCCATAACATAGAGGGGGGGATTCCGTCACATTCACGTGCGTTCGTGTGCCGCGTGTCCTCGTTGAGTTCAAAACGCAGCAAAGAAGCTCACGCAGCAGATTTTGCAGCGCGCGCCGGGTTTGTGCGTCTTACCGGCCGTTAGAAATCGATGGCAACGCAGGCGCGTTCTGCATTTCTGTGACAATGCGGCAAGGTATGAATGCGGGCACAGGAAAAAAAAGAAGCTTCCCCTTTAAGGGGCCCATTGGGGACGGCAGGAGGTCAGCAGATGTCAAAATACAGGGCAAATTCCTCTCGGCATCTGAGGGGTTAATCGTCTCCTCGCCATGGGAACGAGCGCGACGCCAACGAGCGCATGGAGGGCGCAATTTTCTTCTTTATCTGATTTGGTCAAAGATCTGACACCCACCACCTGACCCTTCTGCAGCCCCATCCATGACCGGAACCTGCCTTTACCACGTTACAGGAGACCGCCAGAGACTACTTCCATTACAGGAGACCGCCAGAGACTGCTTCCATTACAGGAGACCGCCAGAGACTGCTTCCATTACAGGAGACCGCCAGAGACTGCTTCTAATATAGGGGACGGCTTTCATTACAGGAGACTGTTGGGAACTTCTGTGTATTACAGGAGATTGCTAAAGACTGTTTCCATTGCTGGAGACTGCTAGAGACTACTTCAGTCACAGGAGACCACCAGACACCTCATTTATCATAGGAGACCACTAGAGACTTCTTCTATCAGAGAAGACTGCCAGAGACGTCCTCTATTACAGGGGACTGCTAAAAGCTTCTCCAGTTACAGGAGACTGACAGTCACGTCACACACAAGAGACTGCTTCCAAGTTTTATGATTAGAGATCTCTGAGAAGTTCCATGAGACTGCTGCCATGTTACAGGAGAATGTTAGAGACTGCTTCTCTGTGCAAGGCAGGCAGATCATGGCTGGTGGGAGGGGCATCCACTAGGGGGCGCTCTTCCAAGTTTTATGATTAGAGATCTCTGAGAAGTTCCATGAGACTGCTGCCATGTTACAGGAGAATGTCAGAGACTGCTTCTCTGTGCAAGGCAGGCAGATCATGGCTGGTGGGAGGGGCATCCACTAGGGGGCGCTCTTCCAAGTTTTATGATTAGAGATCTCTGAGAAGTTCCATGAGACTGCTGCCATGTTACAGGAGAATGTCAGAGACTGCTTCTCTGTGCAAGGCAGGCAGATCATGGCTGGTGGGAGGGGCATCCACTAGGGGGCGCTCTTCCAAGTTTTATGATTAGAGATCTCTGAGAAGTTCCATGAGACTGCTGCCATGTTACAGGAGAATGTCAGAGACTGCTTCTCTGTGCAAGGCAGGCAGATCATGGCTGGTGGGAGGGGCATCCACTAGGGGGCGCTCTTCCAAGTTTTATGATTAGAGATCTCTGAGAAGTTCCATGAGACTGCTGCCATGTTACAGGAGAATGTCAGAGACTGCTTCTCTGTGCAAGGCAGGCAGATCATGGCTGGTGGGAGGGGCATCCACTAGGGGGCGCTCTTCCAAGTTTTATGATTAGAGATCTCTGAGAAGTTCCATGAGACTGCTGCCATGTTACAGGAGAATGTCAGAGACTGCTTCTCTGTGCAAGGCAGGCAGATCATGGCTGGTGGGAGGGGCATCCACTAGGGGGCGCTCTTCCAAGTTTTATGATTAGAGATCTCTGAGAAGTTCCATGAGACTGCTGCCATGTTACAGGAGAATGTCAGAGACTGCTTCTCTGTGCAAGGCAGGCAGATCATGGCTGGTGGGAGGGGCATCCACTAGGGGGCGCTCTTCCAAGTTTTATGATTAGAGATCTCTGAGAAGTTCCATGAGACTGCTGCCATGTTACAGGAGAATGTCAGAGACTGCTTCTCTGTGCAAGGCAGGCAGATCATGGCTGGTGGGAGGGGCATCCACTAGGGGGCGCTCTTCCAAGTTTTATGATTAGAGATCTCTGAGAAGTTCCATGAGACTGCTGCCATGTTACAGGAGAATGTCAGAGACTGCTTCTCTGTGCAAGGCAGGCAGATCATGGCTGGTGGGAGGGGCATCCACTAGGGGGCGCTCTTCCAAGTTTTATGATTAGAGATCTCTGAGAAGTTCCATGAGACTGCTGCCATGTTACAGGAGAATGTCAGAGACTGCTTCTCTGTGCAAGGCAGGCAGATCATGGCTGGTGGGAGGGGCATCCACTAGGGGGCGCTCTTCCAAGTTTTATGATTAGAGATCTCTGAGAAGTTCCATGAGACTGCTGCCATGTTACAGGAGAATGTCAGAGACTGCTTCTCTGTGCAAGGCAGGCAGATCATGGCTGGTGGGAGGGGCATCCACTAGGGGGCGCTCTTCCAAGTTTTATGATTAGAGATCTCTGAGAAGTTCCATGAGACTGCTGCCATGTTACAGGAGAATGTCAGAGACTGCTTCTCTGTGCAAGGCAGGCAGATCATGGCTGGTGGGAGGGGCATCCACTAGGGGGCGCTCTTCCAAGTTTTATGATTAGAGATCTCTGAGAAGTTCCATGAGACTGCTGCCATGTTACAGGAGAATGTCAGAGACTGCTTCTCTGTGCAAGGCAGGCAGATCATGGCTGGTGGGAGGGGCATCCACTAGGGGGCGCTCTTCCAAGTTTTATGATTAGAGATCTCTGAGAAGTTCCATGAGACTGCTGCCATGTTACAGGAGAATGTCAGAGACTGCTTCTCTGTGCAAGGCAGGCAGATCATGGCTGGTGGGAGGGGCATCCACTAGGGGGCGCTCTTCCAAGTTTTATGATTAGAGATCTCTGAGAAGTTCCATGAGACTGCTGCCATGTTACAGGAGAATGTCAGAGACTGCTTCTCTGTGCAAGGCAGGCAGATCATGGCTGGTGGGAGGGGCATCCACTAGGGGGCGCTCTTCCAAGTTTTATGATTAGAGATCTCTGAGAAGTTCCATGAGACTGCTGCCATGTTACAGGAGAATGTCAGAGACTGCTTCTCTGTGCAAGGCAGGCAGATCATGGCTGGTGGGAGGGGCATCCACTAGGGGGCGCTCTTCCAAGTTTTATGATTAGAGATCTCTGAGAAGTTCCATGAGACTGCTGCCATGTTACAGGAGAATGTCAGAGACTGCTTCTCTGTGCAAGGCAGGCAGATCATGGCTGGTGGGAGGGGCATCCACTAGGGGGCGCTCTTCCAAGTTTTATGATTAGAGATCTCTGAGAAGTTCCATGAGACTGCTGCCATGTTACAGGAGAATGTCAGAGACTGCTTCTCTGTGCAAGGCAGGCAGATCATGGCTGGTGGGAGGGGCATCCACTAGGGGGCGCTCCTTCACGCCTCTACATGACGCATCCACTAGAGGGCGCTCCTTCCCACCTCTACATGACGCATGCATTAGAGGGCGCTCCTTCACACTTCTACATGACGCATCCACTAGAGGGCGCTCCTTCACACTTCTACATGACGCATCCACTAGGGGGCGCTCCTGTTTAGCGACTGTTTGAGGTGTTACAGCACTGGGGATGATGTATATGAACACCCAACAAATAAGGGTGTGGCTCAGATTCTAACTCCGCCTCTCTGCTCCGACAGTTCGACCACCTGGACTCGGATTGGCTGGGAATGCCGCCCGTTCCCTCCGCTCGCTGCCTCTTCGGCCTCGGGGACTCGGAGAATACCATCTACCTGATTGGCGGGAAGGAGCTGAAGGAAGGAGAGCAGACCCTGGACACCGTCCTGTGCTACGATCGCCCGTGAGTACCCACGCAGGAGACCCGCCTCCTTCCGAAAGTTCCACCTGTCTGTGGGGGGCATTAAAGTGTAAGCTCCTCTGTACAGAGACTGATGTGACTGTGGGGGGGGGGGACATTAGGGTGTAAGCTCCTCTGTACAGAGACTGATGTGACTGTGGGGTAGGGGACATTAGAGTGTAAGCTCCTCTGTACAGAGACTGATGTGACTGTGGGG